CCTGGGCACGCCGCCCCGCGCTTGTCCGCCTTTCCCGCCCCCCCCCGCCTCCTCCCGGCGCCGCTCCCCGCCTCGGGCCCCTTCTTCCTCCTCCGCCTCCTCCTCCTCCTTCTCCCCCTGCACCGCCGCTCCCCCTCACACACAGCACCCACCCGGGCGCCTCCGAACCCCCCACTCCCGCCTCAGCCCCCGGCCTGGGATCCTGGCAGCAGGGTAAAGCGAACCGACGTGACTTATAAGATGAAGAAAAAACAGGAGGGGCCAGACAGCAACAACGCAGCTCTGAAACCTCCGCGACGGTCGCTCCGCCCGCATCACGTCTGGTATGCTTTATTTTCCCGCTCCCCCTCCCCGTACCTCAGCCACCGGCTCGGCTCGGCTCCGCCCCACCTGCTAGAACCGCCCGCTCGCCCTCCCGCGGAGCCCGAATCCCATTGGCTGGCCTTCGCTCCGCCTCCTCACAGAGGCACCTTATATTGGCCCAGCGCCTCAAGGGGCGGAGCCTTCCTTTCCACCGCGGAGGCTCTTGGTCTTTGTAGTCTAGAGGCTGGGCCGGGCGGAGGTTTCCCAGCATTCCTTGCGCGGGCGGGGCGATTTCCGGTAGCGGAGCTCACCGGGCGTGCAGGTGAGTGGGCGGCGGGGCTTGTGGCGGGTTGTGTCGGTGGTTGTTCTCCGGTGACTGTGGAGAGGGCTGGCTCGGGAGTAGCTGCTTATGGGGCCGTTCCCCAGGCGGTCGCCGGTCTCGGGAGACCCGTGGTCGGAGGGGTTCCAGTCCTCTAGCTGAGGTCTACCGGCCCCGCGGCGGGGTAGGCCGGGGCACCCCAGCGGCGCGGAACCCGCGCCGCTGGGGTGCCCCGGCCTACCCCGCCGCTGGGTCGAGACCTTGTTCCTAGGAGGGCCTCGGGAGAACTGTGGCCCGGTGAGGTGTAGGGATAACGTGCCTGAAAACCCTTTTGCTGCGAGACTTCTGGGAACGGCCACGTAGTTACCAGTTTGACAGCTACAAGCGGGCTTGCTCCTCTTCAAGCGCATCGTTGTGAGACTGGAGCCTGCCCGGCATCGAGCCCCGGGGGCTGTGGTGTCCAGCTGCCTTGGAGTGCTGTGCCTTGTCAGGCATAGACTCTGTGCTGAGAAATGTGCTCCCTAATGTGGCTGTTGAAGTGTTTTTGTGCTTCTTCTCTTGTCTTTCTTGGAGTGTATTATGTGCTTTAACATGCCTGAGAGTGCTAGGCTTGTGATACAGATGAAGAGCTTGGCATCTTTTTCAACAGGCACACCTAGGATTGAACCTAGGTGTTGTGGGTCTTCAGCTGGAGCTCGTGCTGCAGGAATACTTTTTCTCATGCACCACTATCCTGTGAAAACTGATGTGGTTCCTACAGCTGATGAGTGTGATTAACAAGCAGTGTTGGATTTGTTCTGTGTTTGGAACTGGTTGCCTCGGTTGCTTCTCAGATTGCCTCCCATTTATTTTAGTATGGCTCTTCTGCCATTCTTTCATCTACTGTCACTTGTTCCTTAGGCATATCCTCCAAAAAGGTATACTAAGGCACTTTTTGCTGCAGTTTTCATATTAAGTTTTTAATGGTAAATTTCTTTTTTTCTGCCTTCTGGTATTCTCATCTGCTCAGACAGCAAACTCTCTGAATCCAGGACAGTGTGGTGTTTGCTACCTGCTCTGAGTCTCAGCACTATAGCATTCTGATTCTGATAAATAGCTAGGTGTTGATGTAGTAAATATAACATTAATAACAGCCTCACGGGGCTGAGGAAGGTCTCTAACAAATGTTAACTTAATTGCTCTGCCCCAGAGCAAGAGAACAGCCTATAAATGTTCAGGAGGTCTTTGTCTAGTTTATTCTTAGCAACTGAATCTCTGCTGGTAATCCATCACAGTGCTCTTGTTTTTACTTTTACAAGGATTTTTGTGGTCTTTAACCAAAATCTTCCATGCTACAACTTAAGCCTGTTATGTCCTGTTATATTCACCATGACCACAAGGAACAGATTATTTCTGTCATCTTCTCTGCAGCAGCCATTTATGTATTTGAAGGCTGTTATCACATGATACCTCCAGGCATCTCCTGTTTAGACCAGACAACCTTGATTTCATTTCACCCAGTCTTTTCATTTCAGTTCTTAAGGCTCTGGTCACTTTTATTGTTCTCCTCTGAATTCTGTTCAGCTGTCCTCTGTATTTGCTCAGGTGCTTGCACAGCTGACATCATGCTCCAGTTCAGGCTGGGTGAAATCTCATTTAAAAAAAAAAAGCAAAGACATAGGCAGTTAGAGCACAGTGCAAGTGGTAGGAAGGAGAATGAGAGTCTTGAATATTCTGGAGTCAGGCATAACCTTTCTGTCATGTCAATATTGCCCTGTTGACTGTGGATCAGCTTGTCAAAGTTATGTTGGTAACTAGTACCTGATGTGGGGCTGATCCTGATAAAGACCAAATGCGTGATTTTTGTAGTTAACATATCCAATTAACAAAGAGGTCTGCAGAGAGAAAACAGTGAGCTTCACTTTCATCTGAATGTGCTTCCCCAAACTGTCCTAGATTTTACCTCCTTTAACTAGCTGTGAACATGCCTTTTTGCCTTCCAGGGGCAGCTTTAATCTGTTGTAGTGAGAAACACTCCTACTTTTCCCCCTTATGATCCACTTAAATCCACTTATATCTCCTTGTATTTTGATTGTGAAGGGGTCAGGTCTTTCCTTTGTGTTCTGCCCTGCATATTCTTGCCTGAGGCCGTTGAGTTGCCAGTGTAATACAAATTGCAGCTATTAGTTACAATAGGTGCTTTTGCAGATATCTTAAGAAAGGAAACATTTATTAGCAGCACCTGCTGATTAGGTAGAATGGATGGTGCTTTTGTAGTCTTAAACGGAAGAAGGTGTGGAAAAAAGCAAGGTGTGGGAGAAAGGATCCAGCTGGGGAGTAAAGAGGTGGGAATTAAAGGTGTTTTGCTTATATTATAAGAAAAGGTGCTTGCAAGACAAAGACTCCCAATTCTTTAGAAGTATGGTTTTGAAATGTTACAGCTGAGGCAGTCAAAAGAGCAACTGCTGCTGAAAAGCGTGTTCCTGTTCTTTTATGCTTCACCAATGCCAAATTTGGCATTTGCATGACCCCAGAATGAATTGGTCTGAGGAATTAAACTGGCTAGAAATTATCAGGAAAAGGAAAAGGATACTTTATGTTGTCTTTGCTGCCCAACTTACTATATAGTGGGACCAGGCAAACCCCAGAAGTGCTGCGTGGTGGGCAATGAGACTATAGGGAGGGGAAAGTGCTTCCTGTTGGATTGACTTGGATGTAGCCTGAAACTGCAGCTGAAGACCTCAGATGATAGATGCAGCTGTGTTGAACAGCTTTTTATGAAGTGCCAAACAAGAACACTCTCCTGTGAGTGGTTAAAATGATTAATATGCAATTGCTTGTTAAGGCTAGGGTTGGGAAATAAACCTTTCAGACAGTCATGAAACTGTACTAGCTTTGTAATTAAGTTACTGTCTGCAGGACGGTGGACATGCTCAGATAATGAATGGGCAGGTGCACTGCTGCTTGAAGTGTTTCAGTAATTTCCAAGATTCACAGAGACAGGACTGGGCTGCTTCTGAAGTGCTGAAACAATAAATGGTAGAAACAATCTACTTACAACCTGATGACATAATGAAGTGTGCACCCCATTCAGGTGATATTAACTACTTTTGAGAGCAGTGGACAGTTGTCATTAATGACCATGTCTTAATTTAAGCAGAGCTGTCCTGTAATATAAGACAGATGGAGAAAGATCAGGAATGTCTGACACATGAATTCTTAATTCTCAGTCTGAATTATAAAATATGCAGACCAAGCATTACATCCTTTTGTATTACACTGAGCATGCCATCAGCACTTAAATAGGCATTTAGTCTTCTCTTGACAAGGGTATCCGAAGCTGCCTTAGGCATATTTTGATTAGAAGGGGGGGAAATAAAGCTAGTGCTTCTGAACTCTTAAAATGAGATTTGAAAGATGGCTTTATAGCATTATTGGCTTTAATTTTTCTAGTGTATTCAAGTCCCGGAGTCCACTGCAGCAAGAAAGAACTGCCAGCAAAAACTCCTCAGCAAGTCTTACTGCTTCAGGCTAAGGAGGTGATCAAAGTACAGGTAGGAATTTGAAGCACTATACCTCTGAGATGATCTCGCCTTCCAAGCCCATGGCACCTTGGAGCTATAGTGCAACAGGTGATGCCATGTTCTATAGAAAATGGAGATAAGCAGCTAAAAGTTCTGCTTTGTTTTAGTTACTCAGGGCAGGATGTCAGAGCTGAGTGATGAAGCCAGCGAGTCGGAGCTGCTGAGCCGCAGTCTTTCCATGTGGCATGGGGTTGGTCAGATGATCTGTCGGGAAGAGCTGGACGTTCCCCTGGACTTGCATACAGCCTCCTCCGTTGGCCAGTATGAAGTGGTGCAGGAGTGTATTCAGCGGTAAGGAGGGGCTGGGAGGGGCACAGGTCTACGGTTACTTGCTGCCAGTTATGGTTTTTCACTGGCTGCTGTACAGGTTGGTCTAACATTGCAACAGGGGCACATTGCTGGAACTCCAGAGGGTTCTTAGGCACAAAGTTTCAAGGGGTGAGTCTGCTGATAATTTTTATCTTGAGCTGGTAGAAATTCCCATGCAGGTTTCAGTGCTAGAATTTTTTTCAGCTTTCTGTCAATACAGTGATGACAGCAAGAGGCTGCAGGAGCCTACTGTGATCTACAGCTCCAGAACAGTAGTTCAGCTGAATTCTTTTCTGTTATTTAGTGGAGATCTGGATTTAAATAAGAGGAATTGTGGTGGCTGGACTCCACTGATGTATGCCTCCTACATTGGCCATGACACCATTGTGCACCTGCTGCTGGAAGCGGGAGTGAATGTGAACATCCCAACACCAGAAGGGCAGACGCCGCTCATGCTGGCCTCCAGCTGTGGAAATGAAAGTGTTGCTTACTTTCTTCTACAGGTGTGTATCCCATAATAAATAGGTAAAGCCACACTACATGGTTTAAATGCACAGGGTAGGATTCTCCACCAGTTGCAACCAAAGTGTGCAATTTGTGTTTTGTTGCGAGTTCAGCTTCCTGACAGGGATTTAAACTCTCTTGGTATAACGGCACAGAGGGGCAGTGGCTAAGAGACCCAGCAGAGAGGGTGCAGTAAAGAACATTCTCTGTTCTCTTGAAGCAAGGTGCAGAGCTGGAGATGAAGGATATTCATGGCTGGACTGCGTTATTTCACTGCACTAGTGCCGGACATCAGCAGATGGTCAAGTTCTTACTGGACAATGGGGCAAATGCCAACTGCAAGTAAGGAGGAATTTGTCATTTCATTTCTCAAAAGATATCTCATTTCAGATGTGAAAGCAGAAGTTGGCATGCGAGCACACTTGAACAC